GCCCCAATCTCGCGCCTTGCTCGGTCAATCGCAACGGACGCTTTGTGCAAGATACCTAGCCTGGTCTTCAGAGCCGTGCCGCTCGTCTGACCAGATTCCAAAGACGAAGAAGAGAGCACTTTCGGACGTCACGGACTGTGTTTAGCGCACGGTGCACCTTGCGAAAAAAAAAGGGTCAAAAAGTCGAAGGAGACCAACACAGCTCGCCATGTCGCGTGCAGGCAGCAGAGAGAGAAAAAAAAGGGGGAGAGAGAGAGAGGAGAGCGGGTGCAGCTCAGCCGAGCGTCGACGGTGAGCTCTCTGCCTGCCCTCTTCGGACTCCTCCCGTCCGCTGCAGCCGCCTCCTCGTCGGAAGCACACCGCACTCGATGGAATGCCTGCGCTGAGCCTTCTTTAGAGCTTTGGGCGACTGGCGAAGCGTCGTCAGCGTCGCCATCAAAGTCAAGCGCTTGCTCTGCTACCACCATCACCACCATCGTCTCTCTCTCTCCCCGTCTCGATCCGTGTCTCGAGTTTTTCTCTTTGCGCGTGGCTTTCCTACTCCACTCCACCCAGCAAGGCCCGCATTGCGCATTTCAGAGGCCATCTCGCGTCGGTTGCAAAAGAAAAATCGCGTTCGTGCGTAAGTGCTTTTTGGGCTTCCCGGGCTCCGTTGGCACCGGCCGGCCACCCTTCGTCAGCCGCCGCTGTCGTCGTCCGTCGCTCGCTCGGGCCAGCCAGCGATCTGTGCGAGAGCCTGTGCATTTGGCTAACTGAGCTTTTTTCCGTTGCCTTCCCTCCCCTCTCTCGCCACCAATCCACTTTCTCTTCGCGTGCAGATGAAAGTGAACTCGCTCCTTGCCTCCTGCATTCGAGCCCAATCAGCTCCACGTTCAATCCTTCGTCCCCACACTCTCGGCGCCAACCCCACCGTCGCAAGCCTCGCTCGTGCTCACACGCCGATTCGCCCTCGTCTTCTGCAAAACCATCTTGCAAAGGTACGCTTTCTCTTCCTCTTCCCCCAGCGGTGATTTCCCAAACTTCTTCTCGCCCTCGCAGCTTCAACTCTTCTGCACACGCAGCGGCTACATGTCGCCATCTGATCCGCGCCGAGCCAGAAACACTTACATCGCATTTGCGCTCTCCATCTGTGCTGCTCTGGCTGCCGTCCTCGTCGCTCCATCCTTTGGCGATTCGATCTGGCAGTCGCTCCGCTCCTCGGTCGGCTCTACCTTCCACCGCACCCACGCAACTTGTGCCCTCGCAGACCCAGCCTTCGCGCCCGTCTCTTCCACCATGACCGACGCCACCGACGCCTCCAAGTGGTTCCGCTTGCCCCGCAATGTCGTGCCCACCCACTACGACATTACGCTCAAGTCCGACCTCGAGGCGCTCCAGTTCTCCGGAACCGCCACCATCGACCTCGACGTGCTCGAGGACACTGACTCGATCGTCTTCAACGCCGCCGAGAAGCTCGCCCTCTCCAAGTCCCTCGTCCTCAGCCAGGCGCTCAAGACCGACAACAAGAGCTTCGTCACCCTCGACATCGACGCAAAGCATGAGCGCGCAACCGCAAAGCTCCCCAACACCCTCCCCAAGGGCTCCAAGGCGCAGCTCGTCGTCGCCTTCGCCAGCGACATCGACAAGAGCATGATGGGCTTCTATCGCTCCACCTGGGAGCACGAGGGCAAGAAGGGCTACTACGCACTTACCCAGTTCGAGCCCACCGCCGCCCGCCGCGCCATCCCCACCTGGGACGAGCCCAACCTCAAGGCCACCTACACCTTCCGCATGATCCACCGCAAGGACACCACCGCCCTCGCCAACATGAACGTCGTCAGCTCCCACGACATCTCCCAGTCCGAGCAGGACAAGCTGCTCCGCGCCGCCGAGCTCGGCCTCGACGACATCCTTGCCACCACCAGCAAGACCGAGGGCAAGACCGAAGGCAAGACCGAGGGCAAGACCGAGCTCGCCTCCACCGCCTCCAACGACTGGACCGTCACCGAGTTCGCCACCACGCCCAAGGTGTCCACCTACCTCGTCGCCTGGGCCAACGGCCCCTTTGTCAGCATCGAGAGCAGCTACACCAGCCCGCTCACCGGCAACGTCATCCCCATGAAGGTCTACACCACCCCAGAGTACATCCACCAGGCCCAGTACGCGCTCGACGTCAAGGTCAAGGTGCTCCCCGAGTACGAGCGCGTCTTTGACGTCGCCTACCCGCTCCCCAAGCTCGACACGCTCGTCGCCTCCGACTTTGACGCAGGCGCCATGGAGAACTGGGGCCTCATCACCGGCCGCACCTCGGTCTACCTCTACGACCCCGAGAAGTCGGGCCTGCAGTCGCAGAAGCGCACCGCAGGCGTCCAGTCGCACGAGGTCGCGCACCAGTGGTTCGGCAACATCGCCACGCTCGACTGGTGGGACAACCTCTGGCTCAACGAGGCCTTCGCCACGCTCATGGGCGAGGTCGTCATCCTCGACCGATGCTTCCCCGAGTGGGAGTCCGCCTCCGAGTTCATCAACGTCCACCTCGACCGCGCGCTCGACCTCGACGGCAAGCGCTCCAGCCACCCCATCGAGGTGCCGCTCCAGGGCGAGAACGTCGAGGACGCCATCAACCAGGTCTTTGACGCCATCTCCTACTCCAAGGGCGCCAGTGTGCTCCGCATGCTCTCCAACATGATTGGCGAGGACGTCTTCCTCAAGGGCGTCTCGATCTACCTCAAGAAGCACCTCTACTCCAACGCCGTCACCAAGGACCTCTGGAACGGCATCAGCGAGTCGTCCGGCCGCGACATTGCCTCGATCATGGCCAACTGGGTGCTCAAGCAGGGCTTCCCCGTGCTCACCGTCACCGAGGATGCCGATGGCCTCACCGTCAAGCAGAACCGCTTCCTCTCCACCGGCGACCCCACCGCCGAGGAGGACAAGACGCTGTGGTACGTGCCGCTCATGCTCAAGACCGTCGGCGCCGACGGCAAGGTCGCCGTCGACCGCGACGCCTTCCTCAACAGCGAGCGCGAGGTCAAGATCCCGCTTGCCAACGCCAAGGACGCCACCTACAAGCTCAACGCCGAGACCATCGGCGTCTACCGCGTCGCTTACTCGCCCGAGCGCCTCGCCAAGCTCGGTGAGGAGGCTGCCAAGAAGGATTCGGCCTTCTCGCTCGAGGACCGCCTGGGTCTGGTCTCGGACGCCTTTACGCTCGCCTCGGCCGGCTACGGCAAGACGTCCGGTGGTCTGTCGCTTGCCAAGGCGCTGCGCAACGACCCCACGTACCTGGTCAACTCGGCGTCGTCGCTCAACCTCGGCACGCTCGCCAGCGCGTGGTGGGAGCAGGATGCGCAGGTGACGGGCGCGATCAAGAAGCTGCGCGCCGACATCTTTGGCCCTACGGCCAAGAAGCTCGGCTTCGAGTTTGGCGCCGACGACTCGCCCGATCTCAAGCAGCTGCGTGCGGTCGCCATCGCGGCTGCGTCTGCGGGCGAGGATGCGTGGACGCTGGGCGAGATCAAGAGGCGCTTTGACCACCTTGCCACCACGGGCGACGACAGCCAGATCCACCCGGATCTGTTGCGCACCACCATGGCGCGTGCGGTCGAGCACGGTGGCGAGAAGGAGTACGAGGCAGTGCTTGCCATTTACCGCAAGCCTTCGACGCCTACGCACAAGATTGCGGCCATGCTGGCGCTGGGTGCGTCCAAGGACGTTGCGCTGCTGGAGCGCACCGTGGACTTCCTGTTCGGTGACGAGGTCAAGGAGCAGGACTTTATGTTCTTCTTTGCGGCGCTGTCGGGCAACCCTGCTGGGCGACGTCTGATTTGGGATGCGACCAAGAGCCGCTGGGAGGCGCTGTCCAAGCGGTTCGCGGGCAACTTTTCGCTCTCGCGCATCATCGAGTACTCGTTCAGCGCCTTTTCGTCCGAGCAGGATGCGCAGGATGTGGAGCAGTTCTTCAAGGACAAGGACACCGCCAAGTTCTCCATGGGTCTCAGCCAGGGCCTCGATGCTGTGCGCGCCCGCGCTAGGTGGGTCGAGCGCGATGCCGAGGATGTCAAGCAGTGGCTCCAGGCCAACGGCTACCTTGCCTGAGCAAGGGTGGCGGTGCGGTGTAATGAGGCAATCCAACGTGTACGGTCCGAACTATGCGGGATGTGCTTGAGTTGGCCGCGAGGGGAAGGTGAAGTGGGCGGGTGGTGCGTGCGTGGATTGTGAGCTTGAGTGTGGGCGGATGATTTGCAAGCGGGTGCGCGATGCAAGCCACCCAGCGGCAGAAGGGGTGGGTTCAGGAAAGGTTGACGGCGAGTGATGAGGAGGGTGGAGAGCATGTGGGCGAGCGATGTGCAACGCCCCGGTGGCAGATTGGACGAAAGCGATCGGCAATTGGCACGTGTACAGCGTCGAATCCAGCAAGACAAGACAATGCATGTCCGAATCTTGTCTGGCAATGGACAAGGCAAGGCCGAGAATGGCAGCCTCTGCAACGGTCTTGTCGTCTCCTCGCGATGCTGATTGGAGTTGGCAGCGTAGAGCGCATCGGAAGGGCGCTGGTTTCGACCTGGGCTGCTTGCCGCAAAGCTGTGCCGAACTGCCTAACCGTGCTGGTCTCTTTTGAGCATGTATGCGCCGGGTTTTGCTGGACCATATGCGTCACTTTGGTATGGGAGGCACTGCATGCGCTACATCAACCTCTTCGCTGCACAGTGCACGATCTTCGCTTTGCCTTGAAGCACAACGCTGTCTTGCTCACGATGCAATACAATGCTTACGATGAGGCTGTCGGTTAGTGAACCACGGCGTGCCTGTGCGACGCGGGAGCCGTATCGGGCAAGCTATCCTAGGCGAGTAGGTGGACGCACAAGCTGAACAGTCTCGCCAGTCTCGATGCACTTCCTTCTTGACGACGAGTTTTGATAAGGCTGTGAGGTACGGTTTTGATCTCACGCAGGAACAGCAACATATCGAGTCGAGCGATAACGATGCATAAGAATGCCCAAGAGGATGCTGTACCTGCATCAGATGGACCTTGTCCTTAGGGCATCACGTGGAGCAACCACATCGAGACTGACGAGATGATGGAGCAGGTGCTCAGCTTGCTCGCTGACATCTAGCTCCTACATCAGACTCATGCCATAGCTCAACAACAGACAGCCTCTGGACATCTCAGGCGGCTACTGCGTATCAAGACAAATTGTGCACTGTGTTGTGCGATTAGCCTCAAGAGAATCGGCTGAAAGCAAAGCTGCAAAGAAGACAGTCCTGTCGACAAAGTGACAGAATGACAAAATCGATGATGTGCAGTGACGAGGTTGATCCCCGCCGCTCTCATGGTGAAGCTCTGAAACTCCGGCTCATTCCAAGGCGTTGAGCCGGACGATTCGAGTGGGCTCAAGGTCGAGCCGAATCGAGCTGCATTCGCGACGTTGGCTGCGAGGCCTTCGGAAGCCGACCACAAATGAAATCGCATCGCCCAGTGGCTTGCAAAGCATGTGTGTGGCGGAATGAGGTACGCGCGGTTGGCGGGAGTTTGAGTCTCTCCGGTGCAGGAACGTGCAAAAGTCGCCACATCATCGCTGCGAAGCGTATTGTCTCCCGAAGCCGCTCTGCTGCGTCGGCCGAAGTACGCTTGGGCCTCGGCATCCTCCCTAGGGGACGCAGCGGAAGTGACTTGCGCAACGACACTGCGCAGGTGGGAAGGGATGAAGTGTGCGGCTTGCATTGTCGTACCGCCGTGCGAGTGGGCGAATGCTGCAAGCCGCGTCTCTCGTCAGGGTCATGCTGCGTGGGGCGAGGTGGGAGCACGCTCGCATGTCGCACCAGGCGGAAAGCTCGGACACCGCTTCCAAACGGCCAGCCAAGGCCAAGAGTATAAAGATCTCCCCTCCCGTTGGCTTGACCCTCGCCGATCCTCCTCACCCTCACCTTTAACCTGAACCTACTCTCACCCTTTCCACTAAGATTCAAAGATGATGTTCAAGTCGCTCCTCGCTTTTGCCCTTGTGGCGGTCAGCATGACTGCTGTGCGTGCGGGTGATGTCGAGATCACCGTCGAGACGCACGACAACACCACGGGCGAGAAGCCCAAGAATGCTTCAATTGCCTGCCGTAAGTCGCCACCTTCCACACCATCTTGCATTGCACCTGACTGATCCTGACGTTTGTGGCTTGCTCGTGGCTGAACAGGCATCGAGTCGCGCAGCTGTAAGAGTGTTTCGCACTACACGGACCTCGAGTACGCGCACAACATGCAGGTGTCGCAGTGCTACGAGCCTCACACGCTCAAGAACTGGTACAACCGTCTGACCCCCTTCGGCCACCGCGGCATGTTTGTCGACACGGTCTACGTCTCGTGCCCCGTTCCGGCGATCTGCAAGGATCAGAAGGACAACAAGGCGTGCGACTTCTACACCAACTTCCACAATGTCGAGCCCAAGGACGTTCGTCAGGTAAGCATTCTTTCCAACTCTCGGATCATTGTAAGGGCGGATGGGACTGACAAGCTGATGTGGGGGGATATAGCTGCTCGAGGACCGCATCAACGAGGAGACCGACTGCGACCCGCGCATCGAGTGCTACAGGATCGAGGACGTCGATGACCAGTGCTTCCCCAAGAAGAAGGACGAATAACCGCCCCCGGTTTACCGCCACTCTACGGCCCTCCTTTTGCAAGGGGTCTCGCGTGCCTGCTCCCCTCACCCCCTTTCCCCCTCGTCGTTCGTTTTCTTCAATTTAATCGTCGTTCTTTCATCGTTCAACACATGTGCATCGCGTGGTGGACTGGAGATGGAGAGATGGAGGTGTACGGCCTTGTCTGACGAAGATGTACTTGCATCGACGCGTGTGATCATCCATGCGCACTTTGGACCGGAGAACACGCCTTTGCACACGCAGAAACGCTCGAAATGCAGTGATTGGCAAAGCGACCTCAAGGCGGTGCGTGAGATTGCGCGGCACTGCTAGGGGAGGGGCAAGAGATCGTCGTCGAGCGTAGCATCGAAGGATCTGACGTATTTGATCATGCGCGGAGGCGGCATGACGGGGAGCGGTGGAAGTTGCGGAGGCGCAAGTTGCGGAGGCACTGGAAGCTGCGGCGGGCCTGGGGGTGGCATTAGAGCCGGCAGACCTGGTCTTGCACAGCCGTGCGGAGGTTTTGGCCAGCACTCGACCCTAACCTTACGATCGCACGATGTCAACGAGTCCAAATACTAACCCATACCACCATGTCAGTACAATCCTCACAGCCTTGCTTAGCGCGGGGGGGGGGGGGGCCATTGGCTTACCTGTGCGATCCAGTATGCGTCGGGGGTGGGATGGGTGTCCCAGATCTGCTGGGCAATGGGCGAGTCGGGCGCAATATCGACCGCCGCCAACCTAGTTTGTGCCACGATCTGCCCGGGACATGGATGAAAGCTCACCCCGCGCGCATCGTCGCGAAGCTTGTCCAAGCTCGTACAGGCCGGTAGCGCTATCACCACCATTGCTGTCAGAACCGTGCCGTCGAGGGAGAGCGAGGATGGAATTACTTACAGCAGACTACATCGGGAAGCTGTCGTGCTGCCACAGCGACGAGCAGCACAGCAAAGAGAGCAACAACTCGCAGGTCGGTGGATGGAAGCCAAGCTCCACCGCCGGGGAGGTCGCACTTATATGTGCACCACGATTCGTGCCGCATCCGTGCCTCATTTGCAGACCGGCTGCAAGGCCCCACCCCACTTGGCATCCGTGTGTCCCCACCATTTCATTCGACCTTCAAGCGGCGATAGGGATGCATCCAATCTCATTTGAGCGCACTACTGTCCCCACCAAGAGAGCCCCTGTCACACTGACAGCATGCATGCATCCAGCTATCAAAATGTATGATCTTGCCATTGCATGAGAGGTATAAGAGGATCAACAATCAGCGACGACCACGTTGCTGGTCTGCTGAGCTTTCGGTATCGTCGACGGGTGGCAGCGCAGCGTTGGCGGGTGCGGGGCTAGCGGTGCGCGAAGCGTCCCTCGAAGCGGCCCTGGATCGCGAGCGCGAGTGAGAGCCCGATCGGTTGGCGGGGATAATACCATTAGGATAGGCGCTCTTGTTGTGCACCGCCTCGTTGTAGTCGCGCTTGCGCTCCGACTCGAGCTGCTGCGCAAACTTTTCCTGCTTCTTGCTCGTCTGCCCCGCCTGCAGGAAGAGACTATCCCAGGTAGACGGCTTGACCCTCGCCTGGAGCTCGTCGAGCTTCTCATCCGTGGTGAAGGTGAGGTAGTGTTCGCGGTGCGTGTCGATGGCTGCAAAGAGCGCCGCTACAAGGTACGGCACCGACAGCGAGGCACCGAGCTGCGTGACGCCCGAGTCAAAGTGCGCCACGGTGGCATGGACGCCCTTGATGAGCTCGATGAGCGTCGCCTTGTTTCCATCCACGTTGCGACGCAGCGAGACGTTGAGCGCCTTGAGCGATCCCTTGAGGTAGACGTCGTCGGACTGCGACGTCTCTGCGGCGGCTGCGCGCTCGAGGTGGTACTTGCTCTTAAAGATGCCCTTGGTGGCGATCTTGGTGCACGCGCCGAATCCGGCGTGCGAGTCGAGCTGGATGATCTCGTAGGTGGAAGAGGCGACGTGCTTGCGCACCGCGTACGGCACCGTCTTGTCCGCCGCCACGACGAGCTTGACGGGCGATGCGTAGATGTCGGATGCCTCCTCGACGAGCTTGTGGCGCAGCTCGGCGTCGGCGGCCGAGTCGGCGTAGTCGAGCTGAACGAACTCGAAGACGACGCGGTCGTTGGCGGCAGCGTCGACGAACAGGATGGGATCGCGCCTGCGGTCGAGGTTCTTGACGGTGAGCGAGCAGGGTTTGGCGGCGGGGAAGGCGGCGGTGGTGTTGGCGGCGTTGTACGAGGGCACGGTCTCGAGCGTGGTGGTGCTGTGCGCGTAGTCGGGCAGCGCGGTCTGGACTTGCGAAGCCATGGTGTCGGTGGAAGCTGCCAGGCTGTAGGGGCAAAATGGTGGTGGTGGTGAAGGAAGGCGTTGGAAGAATTGATGAAGATGAGGGAGGAAGGAAGATTTGTGTGAGCGGACTGTGAAATCTCGAGGTGCGGCGGCGGCGCAATCGCCGTGCACTCGTGAGCCGTCAAAGATTGCCGCGGTGTCTTGGCAGGGTAGAGATATCTGCGCTGAGCACGCCGAGCACGCTGAGCAAGCTGAGCAAGCTGAGCACGCGGTCGGGTCTCTCTCTCTCAGGCACGGCTGGATCCGATCCGAAGGCCCATGGCGAGCTGGACTGATCCGGTTCGCTTCGCGCCGCGGTTGTGGGCACACTGTCGCCTCGGCTAGAGGGATGCGCCTCGAAAAGCGCCCAGCTGGACTGACGCTTTCGCTCTCTCTGACATACACTCGCTCAAGAGTCAGATGCAAGCATTCGCTTTCTCTGCACTCGATTTCACCGCACGATTTGAAAGTCTTGTCGCATCGCATGATGATGGGCAGCCACACAAAGTTTTGACAGGGCGAGGATGCAGTAGCACGAGGGTTTTCTTCGGAGAAGGCCGAGAGGCAATACTATCGGGAAAGGAGTCCAAGATCGGGTGAAATGAAAGGGCGATGTGGATCGGGATGGCATTCGGAAAGCTGCACGCGAGCTGCTGGTGCAATGGAACAACTCCAAGTCTGCAGGGTGCAGGCTGTCGGCAGAGGAACGACGTGTCAACACGCGCAGTGATTGGGGCAAAAGCGGCCAAATGGCGGCGGCTGAGCAGTGTGTGAGAAAATGCATGCGCGCGTCCCGCGGTTGGGTGCCTTGCGGTTTTTCATCGCGGCTGTCGTGCTGCCACGCTACTGTAGTGGTGAGATGCAGGCCCCGCTGCACGCTGGGGCAAGTCAATTAGAGCTGCTGCTGCTGCACCCTTGCGCCGCTTCACTACTTTGCCCACGGCTGGGGCCTCAGGCTCAGCGCCGCACCAGCCGAGCCATCTGGGCCTGCGGAAAGGAAGCAGACGGCTCGGATTCGCCTGGAAATGTAGCGCCACTCCGCCAGCATCGGGCGCCGGCAGCTGCTGAGGAATGCCATCAGTCACCCAACCCGGGCCGAACAGATTCGCCCTACAGCCTCTCACTTCCGCCGACCGAAAGCAGCGCGCCAACTTTGCGTTCGGCGCGCCCACCAGGCCACAACATCAACATGGCACACAGACGCACACCGCATCTCAAGGGTCCGCCGGCTGACTTTGGCCGCGCTGCCATGCCATCCGTCTCTCTCCCCTCTCGTTTTCGTTTCGGCTCGCCCCTGTCCAGCTCTGCTACTGCTCAGCTGCTGCCGCCCTGAAACCCTGAAACAGCCCCGGCGCCCCGCGTTCATCCTTTCGATTTCGTGTCCGTTGGGCGCGTTGCCCCTCCGCAAGACCTGTTTTTCATATCCCCCCCCCCCCCGCCCCCCCCCCCCCCCCCCAACGCTCCAGTTCGCCTTACTCCGCCTCCCTTCCTCTGGCCAGCCAGCCTGCCTTGCTCGTCTTTCCTGTCTTGCCCCTTTGCCTCTCCTTGGCTGCCTCGTCTGAGCGTTCCCCCCTCTCTCGCTGGATTCAATCCTATCCATCCATCCTGTCCCTCCCCCATCCCTGCCACCATCAACCTTCTGCCACTTTCCTGTACTCGTCCTTGCTCATCCCCTCCTGGAAGAATCATCCTACACCTTGTCTCTGCTCCGTCATCTTCCCCTCGAGCCTCGGCTCCCATCTCCACAATGAGCAATCGTCCCGGAAACTATCGCAGCGTGCCTGCGCAGCAGCAGCCAAGAGACATGCCCTCTTACAAGCAGGTCTCTTATACCCCACCATCCCAACACCAGCACCAGCGTCCTGGTCCACGCGCCATCCCTTCCGACCAGTCGCACAACATGTCCGGCTCCTTCTCCAGCGGCGAGAGCAGCGGCGCCACCCAGCGTCTCCTCCCGACCCAACCCTACCAGCCTCGCAACAACGCCGCCCCGCCGCAAGGTGCCAACCCCAACATGCGCGCAAAGACCGCTGCTACCGCCTCCACCCCATCCACCGCAGGCTACAAGTACGCCACCGGCGCCCAGGGCCAGCCCGTCTACGAGGGTCCCGAGGACGACGACGACCTGCACGACTGGAAGAAGGAGAGCCACTCGCACGCCATGTCCTGGCGCGGCATCGCCAACGTCCTCACGCTCGCATTCCTCGTCGTCGGCCTCGTCGCCCTCTTTGCAGGCTATCCCATCATCTCGCACTTTGAAAAGCTCTACAACGCCTCCAAGAAGGGCGGCTACAATCTCGGCGGCACCAACGGCTCCGGCCAGGTGCCCGACCTGCCGCTCTTCAGCCTCATCGATGCAGACACCCCCGCCTCGGCGCTCAAGCGCACCTCGGCCGCCGACGGCAAGTCCTACCACCTCGTCTTCTCCGACGAGTTTGAGCAGGAGGGCCGCACCTTCTGGCCCGGCGATGACCCGTTCTGGGAGGCCGTCGACCTCTACTACGGCGCCACCGGCGACTACGAGTACTACTCGCCCGAGGCCGTCAACACCACCGGCGGCGCACTCACCATCACCATGACCCAAAAGACCACGCACAACCTCAACTTCCAGTCCGGCATGGTGCAGTCCTGGAACAAGTTCTGCTTCCAGGGCGGCTACATCGAGTTCTCCATGCGCATGCCCGGCGGCCCCTCCACCTCGGGATACTGGCCCGGTCTCTGGCTCATGGGCAACCTCGCTCGTCCCGGCTACGCTGGATCCACCGACGGAATGTGGCCCTACAGCTACGCCAGCTGCGATGCCGGCATCCTGCGCAACCAGACCTGGGTCAACGGTACCGGTCCGGACGGGGCGATCAATTCGCAGGGTACCTACTCGGTGGGTGGGCGCGTGTCGTTCCTCTCTGGCATGCGTTCGCCCGCCTGCACGTGTCCCGGCGAGGACCATCCGGGCCCCAACGTGAATGTGGCGCGCTCGTCGCCCGAGCTCGACATTCTCGAGGCGCAGATCCAGAACCGCGCGGGCGTGTCGCACGGCTACGCCTCGCAGTCGTATCAGATCGCACCGTTCGACCTGAGCTACGAGTGGCTCAACACGTCGGCGGCGGTCAAGATCTACGACGACGACGTCACCGAGGTCAACACGTACAAGGGCAACGTGTATCAGGAGGCGGTTTCGGCGCTCACCCAGATCCCCGATGCCGGCTATGTGGATACGTCCAACCAGTACCTTACCTATGGCGTAGAGTATCAGCCGGATTGGAACGAGAATGGTGGTGGGTCGATTACGTGGTACATCAACGGCAAGCCGTCGTGGTCGGTGAATGGCAAAGCGATGATGGCGAATCCGCCTATGGATATTGGCATTCGTACGGTGTCGGTGGAGCCGATGTCGATCATCATGAATCTGGGCATGTCGCCTACGTTCCAGCGCGTCAACTTTGGCGCGGGCGGTGTCGAGTTCCCCGCGACCATGGCGGTCGACTATGTGCGTGTGTATCAGCTGGATGGTCAGAACGATAGGATCACGTGCGACCCTGCGGACCACCCGACGGCTCAGTACATCAACGACCACCTGGATCTCTACACCAACCCCAACTATACCGTCTACCCGCACGCCTGGCCCAAGAACAAGCTGACGGGTTGTTAGCAGGCGGATGACTGTAGGGTTTTTTTTTGGCACGGGGGAATCTGGGACACTCTTTGACTCGATTGCGCAAGTGTGCCAGCGGCGGTCTTGCTGTGCTAAACTATCTGAACCGATTGTGGCTTGTTCGGGCTAGGACTTTTTCGCCTTGATCTTGTCCTTGAGCTTTTCGGTGGACTTTTCGAGCTTCGCAAGTGCTGAGTCGGTTTTGGTCTGGTTGCGAGCGAGGGCGTTCACCTCCTTGCGCAGTTGTTGCATCTCGGCACGCAACAGGGCGATTTGTTCGTCGGCGGTCAGAGGCTGTGTAAGCTGCGTCCATTCGTCGCCATCCGAGCAATCATCGAGAGCATCCACTTGTGCTGTCTTCGTTAGCGCCTCCTTTGTGTCATTACGGTCAGTACCGCACAGTGCAGCGATGCGGTCGGTGGATTTCGGCTTGGCGCCGTTTTTCGATTCGACGGCTCCATCCGCTCGCCCAGGTTTGGGAGACATCGCTCAAGAGGTCTTCCTATGTACCTCTGTCGCAAGGGCATGAACGAGAGAGAAAGAGCATCCGAAAGAAACCCCTCCGCTCTCGTCATGGTCAGATTGCCAACCCAAACCTCATCTTCGCGCGCCGGATGCACAACCTTTGGCTCATTGTCCAAGCTGCGCGGCGGATCCACTTCATCTGCGCCAACTCGCAGCCCAAACGTCATTGTGCGCGTGCATCTTTTGCCCGACACCGACCCAAACTACGACTGCACAAACGCACCATGTATTACACACAATACAGCGAGGAAAGAAAAGGGGAAAAAGGGGGACAGAGCCGGGTATGTTGAGCACCCAAGATGCGACGGAAAGGCAATGACGGAGGCTTTGTTGAGAGACCCCTCGTATCATTTTCGCTCACAATGTAGAAAGCTGGTCTAAGTTTAGAGCACGTCCTCCTTGGGGAACTTGAGGATGGGGCCGACCTGGCCGATGCACATGCCGCCGAGCTTGTGGCCGACGTTGATGGCCTCGTCGATGGACTTGCCGAGCACAAGCGCGCCGACGACACCACCAGCGAAAGCGTCACCCGCGCCGTTGGTGTCGACAATGTCGGCGGGGTTGATCTTGGGCGTCTCGTGCACGTACTGCTGCGACTCGCCGCGCTTGGCCAGGATGGTGGGCTGCGAGCCGTTGGTCATGATCACCACACGCTTCTCGGCCTTGGTGGTAGCAGCATCGTAGTCGGCGATGGCCTGAGCGATCTGCTTGAGGTCCTTGGACTCGAGGTTGTGCGCCTGCGCCCAAGCCTCGGCCTCGGTCTCGTTGCCAAAGATGACATCAGCAAACGGCACCACCTGGTCGACCTGGGCGGTGAAGAACTGCGGGATGAAGGGCGCCGAGAGGTTCATGGTGAACGACACATCGCGCGCCTTGGCCTCGTTGGCAAGCACGAGCGCCGACTCGACACCGTGCGTGAGGAAGAAGCCGCCGAGGTAGAAGATCTTTGCGTTCTTGATCGCCTGCTGCGCCTCGGCGGTCTCGAGGTGCGACTTGGCGAACTTCTCGGCCGCACCCAGGTTGGTGCAGAGCGAACGGTTGTGGCCGGTGATGACCACGGCGCACGAGCCGGTGGGCGCATCGTCCGAGAACTGGTAGATCGACTTGAGACCCTCCTTGTCGTTGGCAGCCTGCAGCTGCTTGGCGAGGTCGTCCTTGCCGACACAGCCGAGGTAGGCGGTCGAGTTTGGCGGCAGCACGTACTGCGCGCAGCGCGCGGCGTTCTGCGCAGCACCACCAGCGACGTAGGTGACGTCGTAGTTGTCCACGATGTCCTGGTAGATGGCGAGCTGCTTGTCGTCGGCGAGCACAGCGTCGTTGGGCTTGAGGCCGTACTTTTCCAGCATGGCCTCGCCGTTGCGGATCTGCATGTCCAGCAGGGGGTTGCCGAGCGCAACCAGCTCAAAGTTTCCGCCAGCCATGATGTTGATGATGATGTGGGGATGTGGTGTGGGGTTCGAGGGAGGTGATGGAAGATGGGAGGGGACGATCAATGCATTCCTCACCCGGTGTTGGAAAGCCGGCGCCTGCCAAACACACATCGCTCAGCTGCATCGGACGAGCACAGGCCGGGCGGCAGCAGCACCAGCTGAGAACGTGTCGCAAATTCTTTTTCTTCTTCTTCCTGAGGCGGCTTTTTTTGGCGCACCGACCAGCTTCCAAAAAATTAAATTATAACTGTCATCTAAGACGGTCTCACACTGACAAATAAAAAAGCCGCGTGATTTACGCGGTGTCGCGTTGTTGGACGCCGCGATTTGTTGGCTCAGCCGTGCAGCAGCTGAGAAACACTTTTTGGCCACTGCAAGTGTTGGACAGGTTGCTGGCTGAGTCCAAGGTGGCGGCTATCCTCTTCCATTGCTTCTTGCCCATCTTCCAGCAACACATCGAGCTCCGGCGCATTCCCAAGCCGACAGCGACACGCGACACCCGTCATGACGTCGCAGTCCAGCTTGGAGCCGCAGTCGCAGCCGTCGCGCGACTTCTTCGCATCGTCTCCCTCCGCCACGCCCTCTTCGCCTCGAAAAACCGCACAACGGCAGTGTGAACCGCCTGCGAGCACAAGGCAGCCACAAAGCGACGAAGCCGCTGCTGATCCCGATGCTACAGAAGACGACTTCAGCATCGTCGGCTCAACCAGCGCACAGAATGACCAGCCATCCAGGCGACAGCAGCCTCGTCGAGCTGCAGCTGACAATGCCAAGCCGCTCTTCTTGGCCGACGAAGACGAAGACTTGGACGTCTGGGGTGGAGAGCATGACGAAGAAGTGGCGGAGGCGGCCAGCTCAGACTTCTTCTCCACACAGATCGATACCCAGGCCAAGCCTGCCCCGCGCCAAAAAGTCAAGAGCGACGACGAGGAGTTTGTCCCAACAGCTCCGTCTCAACCCAATGGCGACCGATCTTCTTCACCTTTCGAGCCACAGCGCAAGAGAGTTTCAGAGGCGGCGCATGTGACGAGCACGAATGGCAACGTCAAGCGACTCAGGAGTTCTTCGTCCTCCCCAGCCCCAGAAGCGACTCGCAAGCGCTCGCCCAGCCCAGATCCACGTCTGCGCCACGATGCATTCGACCGTCGCTTCCTTGGCACATTCGTGCTCTCCGCCTGGTCATTGTCCAAGGGCTCCTCCTACGTCAAGCCAGGCGATCCCGTTCGCATCTTTCGCCCACGCAAAAAGCCCTTGCCCGCCGAGACCTCCTCGAAAGCCTCCAAACTCACTAATGGCGGCGTCAAAAAGACGAAGCAAGCCACACTCAACTTTGGCGGCGCGGCCAGCTCGCCAACCTCGTTCTTCGCGTCCAAGCAAAAGTCCAAGGACAAATCGGACTTTATCGTGCGCTTCAGCAATATGCGCGGCTTTGAGGTTGGCCGCCTCCCGCTCGAAGTGGCTACGTGGATGTCCAAGCTCATCGACGCAGGCATCGCCGATTTCGAGGGCGTAGTCGTTGACTGCCCCGCTTCGCTCACCGTCGGCTGCGACATTCTCCTGCAGGTCAAGGCGTACATCCGATTTGATGCCTTCTTCCTCAGCCTCACCGCCCTAGCAAACGGCGGCTTCGACGAGCAGAATGACGGTCTGCGTCCAGAGACGGCCGAGTCCGAGATCGAAAAGTCGTTGCGCGAGCGCAAGATCAGCCTCGTCCGCATGTTTCGCGTGTGCGATCTCAAGCCAAGCCTCAGCAACTCCATCCTCAAGGCGCACAAGGCGGTCGACGACTTTTCCAGCGACGCCATGCTCGACCAGTACGGCGGCGACGTGGCCACCTCGGTTCAGGCTGGCGCTGCTGAGCCTGCATCGTCGCCGTCGGCACCGATCGACGTCGACAGCAGCAGCGACGAGGCTGCTGCGGTCGAAGGCGGCATAGTCACGCAGCTGCAAGAGGCGCAGCAGCAGACCGACGGCGATGCGGATGTAGACGAAAACGACGGCACCGAGCTCAACCTCAACCAGCTCGACGAAGTGTACCGCAAAGCGCAGGCGAATGATGCGCATCTGCCCGAGGTCGAGCCACCGGACACGTTTCTGCTTACCTTGCGGCCGTACCAGAAACAGGCGCTGGGCTGGATGAAGAATATGGAGAAAGCGCCGGGGCCGTCGTCGCAGCAGCAAGACGAGGCGTCGCAGGCGAATGCAGGCGAGCGCAGTGTGTCGTTGCATCCGCTGTGGGAAGAGTACGAGTTCCCGCTCGACTACGACCAGCCCGAGGCGAATGAGCGGCTGGTGCTCAGTCCGACGCGCATGTTCTACTTTAACCCGTACACGGGCGATCTCAGCCTCGACTTCCAGCGCGCCAGCAAGGGCTCGCGCGGCGGCATTTTGGCCGACGAGATGGGGCTGGGTAAGACCATCATGGTCACCAGCCTGCTGCATGCCAACCGCAGTGCCGAGGAAGGCGAGGAGAGCAGCGACGAAGAAGTGGGCGATGGCGATGATGGATGGGCAGCTTCGGGCAAGCGCCGCAGCGCGGGGGCCAAGCAGACCTCGCTCGCCTCGGCGTTCGCCGCGTCGGCATCGAGCGGCGACGCGCGTAGGGCGCTGCTCAAGGCGTCCGTGGCCAAGGGCAAGGCGTCGCTCGTGGTGGCGCCCATGAGCCTGATCGGGCAGTGGCGCGACGAGATCATGCGCTCTTCGGCGCCTGGCTCGCTCACGCCCATGCTGTACTATGCCGACTCGAAGGCGGATCTGCTCGCACAGCTCGAGTCGGGCAAGGTGAATGTGGTGATCACGTCGTACGGCACCTTGGTCACCGAGTACCGGCGATTCCTGGATGGTGGGGGGGCGGCGAATCGGCATCTGTCGAGTACGGCGCCGCTGTACTGCATCGATTGGCTGCGCGTCATCCTGGACGAGGCGCACAACATCAAGAACCGCTCCACCATGAATGCGCGTGCGTGCTGCGACCTCGTCTCGCGCCGGCGGTGGGCGCTGACGGGCACGCCGATCATCAATCGACTCACGGACCTGTTTAGTCTGCTCAAGTTCCTGCGCGTCGAACCGTGGGGCGACTTTAGCTTCTTCAACAGCTTTGTGTGCAAGCCGTTCCAGGCCAAGAGCACCAAGGCGCTCGATGTGGTGCAGGTCATCCTCGAGTCGGTGCTGCTGCGCAGGGAGAAGCGCATGAAGGACAAGGACGGCAGACCCATCGTCGAGCTCCCGCCAAAGACGATCGAGGTGCGCGAACTCGAGTTCAGCCCGATCGAACGGAGGATTTACGATAATGTCTACCGCCGGGCGTTTATGCAGTATGCGACGCTCAAGGCCAATGGGACGGTGACGCGCAACTTTTCGGTCATCTTCAGCGTGCTCATGCGCTTGAGGCAGGCGGTGTGCCATCCGGCGCTCGTGCTGCAGGCGCGCAAGGGCAAGACCAGAGGTAGCGACACGAATACCGCAGGGAGTGAAGAGGTAGGTGGGGCGGAGGCAGACGAGGTGGATGGAGTGGATGCGGCTGGTTTTGGCGACGGTGGTGATGGGGAGGCGACGCCGGGGACGGAGGATCTGCGCGAGCTCGTGGCGCAGTTCCAGTCGGCAGAGGAGGGCGAGGGCGAGGGAGAGGCGGGGAGCTACTCGCGCGCCATGGTGGATCGGCTGCTCACCAACGCAGGTGGCGATGCAGCAGCGGTGGAGAGCGAGTGCGCCATCTGTTTCGAGGATCCGCAGATTGCGCCGTGCTACCTGCCGCGCTGCATGCACAGTGCGTGCAAGGCGTGTCTGCTCGGCTACCTCCAGCAGTGCATCGAGCGGGGTGAGGAAGCTGCGTGTCCAACGTGTCGCACGGGTCCTGTGGCTGCGAGCGATTTGATCGAGGCGATCCGCACGCGACCACCCACCTCGTCAGACGACCGGGGCGGTATGATCTATGTGCGCAACAACCTGCTCACATCGACCAAGGTGAGTGCACTCATTTCGCACCTCAACCAGCTCCGGGGCGAGGGCAGCTTCAAGGGCGTCATCTTTTCGCAGTTCACCTCGTTCCTCGACGTGATCCAGCCCGTACTGGCACGGTACCACTTTCGGTTTCTGCGGTTGGATGGGACGACGCCGCAGAAGCAGAGGGAAAAGCTGCTTGTCGAGTTCCAATCCCCCGCATGCGAGGGCGAGGTAGTGTTGTTCTTGATCTCGCTCAAGGCAGGTGGGGTGGGGCTCAACTTGACGGCAGCGACAAAGATTTGGCTGCTGGATTTCTGGTGGAACAGCAGCATCGAACACCAAGCCATCGATCGTATCCATCGACTCGGGCAGACTAAACCGGTGAATGTGTATAGGTATCTGGTAAAAGACTCGATCGAGAATAGGATCTTGCAGATCCAGAAGAGGAAGGACTCGCTCATCCACCATGCACTCAACAAGGATCCCAAGCAAACCGACACCGTTGGCGACTTGGACATTCTCTTCGCCGAGTAATCCCCCACCCCTGCAATGCAATGCCGTGAATCCACAACGCAGCCCGACAGATTCCCCAGCACCCCAATCGCAGTCATCCCGCAGTCTCACACAATTCACACATTCAGTGCAACACGCTCCTTTGGCGCTGGTCGGTGCGGATGCAAAGGAAAAAAAAGAGTCTGAGAATTTTTATACAAATGTGAGCCAGGGGAACATGCAGTGGCTACAGCCGCGCCAGTCTACCACGGCACGTCGTCGAGCTCGAGCTGCTCGCCCGCCAGCTGCGTGGACAAGGAGAATGCGCTCGACGCCTGTTGCTCGGCGCCGTCGCCACTAGGCGCAGCCTCGTGCTGCTTGAGCTTCTCCCACCACGTCGGGCCGGCATTCGGCCGGCGCGCCGCCGTCCTGGGCGCGGGCGCCACGCGCCTCGCGAGACACATCGCCTTGCGCGTCTGCTCGGTCTGCTCGACCTTGGCGAGTGCTTCGTCGAGCAGCGCGCCGTCGAAGCGCTGCAGCCGGTCGGCGAAGAGCGCAAATACATCAAACGTCGCGCCGTCGCAGTCGTCGTCCGCCTCGTCCGCCTGCGTCTGTTGCGCGCCCGCGACCGATTGTCCGATCGACGCCGCCTGTCGTCCCGGCGCAAGCGCCACCGCGCCCGCCTCGGCCGGCCCGTCCAGCTGCGTGCGCTTGAAGCCCGAAAGCTGGTCGGGCTTGTTCTTCATAAAGTCGAGCACGGTGGCCAGTTCGGGCGGCGAGACAAAGTTCTGCGTGAGCGCCACCGACTCTTCGAGGTTGATCACCAGATGCCACCAGCCGCTGGGCACGTACAGCACCTCGCCCTCCTCGCACACGCCCTCGACCAGCAGCCTCTCCTCTGCGCGCGCCGCCGAGGGGCCGTACAGCCTGCGCGTCTCGTGCGCAAACTCGAGCAGCCACTCGGCGATGCTGAGCGGCGCCGTCACCTCGGCCTCGTCGTCGCTCACAAACACACCGGGCGGCGTAACGTGCGGCGGCAGCATCATCCACGCCTTGCGACCCGTCAACACCGCGTTCCACGCCGAGGTGGCGTTGGGGTCCTTGTGCCAGCCACTGCCGCTGCGTGCGGGCCCGGCGATGATCCAGCGGTGATCGGGGCGCAGCCGGCCGAGCAGCGAGAAGAGGTCGGAGCGCACGGCCGACGCATCATGGTCAGCTCGTGCGTCGGCGGCGGTGGTGGAGATCTGCTGGAAGAACTTGGGCACGCGCCACTCGAGCGACGCATGCGGGTCGTCGGCAAACGACGCGTCAAACAGGTAGAAGGGCGACTCGTCCGGCACGGCGTACGGGTCGAACGTCGAGTCGCCCTCGTCGGCGACGGCAGAGTACAGCTGCGTGCCAGCGCGTGTGATCGTGTACGGGGTATTCTGGAGCGGGAGCGCGGTGCGATCGCGCGGGCTGTCGGTGCCGTCTGCGGAGGATGTGCCATCGTTGGAGACGGTCGCCGAGTCTCGCCGGCCGGCTGCATCCGGGTTGCCGTCGGCGTCTTCGAGCAGCTGCTGCCACGTCTGTTCGTGGAGGTGCTGCATGCCGCGCGAGTAGCTAAAGTAGGTGGGCAGGCGTGAGCGCACGGCCTCGCACTGGAAGAATCGGTTGGGCCAGCGCTGCGCAAGCTTGTCGAGCGACCACTCACGACAGGGCCAGTCCTTGGGCGGCATGGCATTCTGTACGATGGCAGGCCTGTTGGCATAGGCGAATTTAAGCTTGAACTCGGCGATGGAACCCGGCTCTGCAAGGTCGATCTTTGGGATGGGGTTGTAGAGACGGCATGCGGGAGCGACGAGGTGGTCCAAAGGAGCAGTGGCGAGGCGGAAGGGGTGGTAGAGGGTGTCTGAGAAGAGGTAGGGCGACTGAATCCTGGGTGCGGGCGGGTCGAGCAGCGCAAAGGCGGAACCGTCCATGGAGTCGCGCGCCTTGTCGTCAAAGACGGCTCGGCTGAGCTTGTGGTGCCAGATGAAGGTGCGCTTCCAGCTGCCGCACCAGCGCTTCATCTTGCCGTTGAAAGCGAGCAAAAAGGCTTCGCGCCAGACCGAGTTGGTGGCGTTGATGAAAGTGTAGAAGGCGTGACTGACGGCTTCGAGCTTGGCGAGCGTGGCGGGGTCTTGGGCAAGGGAGCTGGTGATGAAGTTGAGCAGAAAGTCGTCGTCGAAGCGCGCAAAGAGGCCGAGCGAAGGGATGCGATCGTTGCGATCCGAGAGGAAAGCGTTGCCGAGTGGCTTGATGCCGAGAGGGTGAGGCAGCTGAACGCGCTCGCGTGCATGTTGGAGAGGAGCTGCCGAGTCGGTTCGTGCGCGCTTTGCGTTCCTCCTAGCGGCGGATATGCCACTGGAGGAGCTGCTGACCTCGTCTGGGGTGGTGGAAGGCTCTGTGGAGGGCATGGAGGCGGTGCCGTCGGTGAGGGAATCGTTGTTGGAAGCCGAGTCGGAGTCGGCGGCGAGACGCTTGAGGGCGTTGGCAGCTGGAGAGATGGAGGCGTACTTGCGATTGGTTTCTTCGACGTTGATGGTCATTGTGGCGTGTTCGTCGTGGTCGTCGGCGTTGTCCATGGTGACCGAGGGTACAAGGGAGATATGCTGGGTATGCGTAGAGTTGGCGTGGGCTGATGCGGGAGATTCGTGCTGGCTATCAGCAGCTTCGGAACGGGACAACAGAGTGATCTGCATGGTGCGGTATGGGTCGAGATGCGGAGTATAGAGGAGTGGGTTGAGCCTGGAGTCAAGAGGCGAGTTTGTGCGGGATCGATCGGTCAGCTAAAACACCGAGATGGAGCGAGAAGGTCTCGTCGATGCAGGCGACAAGTTTGCATCAGAAGGTTGTAGGCTGGCGGCAGAGAGACGCTAGCACCGGGGAGGTGAATATGCGACCGTCGCAGTTGCAGTGCAAGTGCAGGCCAGGGGGGAACGGCTGGGTTAGGAGCCAGCAAGCCGAGCGAGAGAGGCGAGGTCTAAAACGGACGAGCAGCCAGAAAGCCAAAGTGGGGACTCGAGGCTGCTTCCTAGAAGCGACGAGCAGGAGTGGCGTCCTCTAGCTCGTACGCTAAAGCTGGCAAGAATTGAGTGAAGAAGAGTGTAGGAACGCCACGCAGCAAGGCGAATGTTGAGCGTGTAGGAGTGATGTGGTAGTGAAGAAGGTAGGAGGCGGAGAGTGTCGCAACGATAAAGCGAAGAGCGACGTCGAGGAGGGAAGAAGGTGGTGATGATGATCAGACGACAGCGGTGTGAGCAGCCGCCACCCGCAGCGGCAAGCAGCGGCAACTGCCAACGGCCAACCCTGCGCTGACACGCACCCGCACGCGCACCCGCCCTGTTCGCTGGGCTGCATCAAAAAAGCCGTTGGGCGCGCGCTCCCTCGTTTCACCGCGAAAAAATAGTCTAAATCCAGGGTCTCGACCTTTGCCCTTTTGCAAACGGTCCCGACTTGTAAGGCCGAATACAAAAAGTGATTTTACACTCAAATCGAGCCGCTGCGGCTGCTCTTGTTTCTCACCTCCTCGTTCGGCCGCTCCGCCAGATTCTCACGCACGCCTGCGCAGAGTGTGTGAATATCCATCTTCACGAAGCAGCGAAGGAGCATCGGCTCGAGCCGCGCATGTTCGGCACGCCAGTCGGATGCCAGCCGATTGCCAGCACGCGAGGATCGTCGAGCTCGCTCGTTCCATCATCACGCTAGCCTTTGCGTCCACATGTCGTCCCAGGTGATTGTGTCGGATGCAGCCGATCTTGAGTCAAAAGAGGAGGGAAAGGCGGGTGCGTTGCTCGGACGAGCCGAGCGTGCAGCTGCGGGGCGCTTGTCTGGCTGCCACAAAGAATCGCAACGGAGGCGGGCGCTCTGCAGGGAGCGGGCAGAGAGGTGCAAGCGCCGATCGCGAGCGTGCAAGGTCTGGACCCTGTTGACCTGCCAGCCTCGTTGCCGCTGCTCCTGGCTCGCCGCTTCACTCGGCAACCCCCTCGGCCTTGGGCGTCGCCGACAGCCCGACTCTTGCCCCTTCTTCGGATGCGCTTCCCGAACAAGCCGATCCAAGCGCTCACCACATCGGACCGCATGTTCTCCTTGCCCGATCAAGGGATTCGCCCAGATATATTGGCTTTCAAGCGCCGTCGGATCTCCCACGCCCAGCCCACCTTTGTCGGCCCTTCCGCCCTCCCGACGATGCCGCAGACTGAGAGACAGCCGCCCGAGTCCACTGCCTCTGTTTTTGCCACTGTCTCACCGCACTAGCAAGCCCTCGCATCACACCGCCATTGGGCAGGGCAATAATCGACAAGTAGGAGCCGGTAAACAAATCGGAAATTGTTAGACCGAGGTCGACCAAGGACGCTCGCGATGCACGGTTGGCAACGTGCTCACCTCGCTTAGCCCCGCCAACCGTCCAAGCTAGGTCGCTGTTTGACAGCGCCGCTCTTGCCTTGACCGACAAACTTGACCGACGGCTGCTGCTTGTGCCGCATTGTTTTTGGCACTCAGCGTCCAACAGCGGGGCAAGAGTGCTGACAGCAAGAAATGAATCAACAAATGCGCACGATTCTGCTGCAGTCTCATTTGAGCCTTCATGATGCCGTACGCTCGACAAGTCGGTGTGGGAAAGTTGTAGGCGGCGAACACTTCCATGCACATCCCACGTGGTTTGACTCTCACACGTTCCCTGCCTCTGTTTTCTCAGTGGCTTCTCGTCCTCTACTTGCAGCCGATGCAGTCGGATGTCGACGTGACCTGGCGTGCTTGTGTCTCGCCTCGCCGCCGGTTGCAGCTCGCCAGAACTCGCCGCGCCCTCGTGCTCACACGCGCTCGGCAGCAAAGTCCTTCCTGGTCCACCGCTCGTTGCCTTTCAAAAGGGCACCTAGCCTTCGTCAGCGTACTTTGTCGTTACTTTGGGTCTGGCAAGTGCTTCCGGCAAATCTCGGCCAACTCTGACTTCCGCCATGCTGCGAGCCACAGCCGGAATGAGAGCCGGTCATTTTGCCTGCGTACATGAACACCCACATCTTGCCGAGCCGAGATGAGCCTGATCACGAGCCATCTTGAGGCTTCCTTATATACCCTGCATTGCCACTTCCCGCACGCTCGCCGTTCCCACCCTTCGAACTTCATGCCACGGCCTTGAGGCAGCCATCCCGCTCTGCAAACATGCCGTTCGGAGCGTCGATGGATGCATGGGCATCCTACTACGACTACCAGAGCGACGAGATCGAGGTGGACGACGCCGTCGGCTCGGCACGCGCCTCTTCCGAGCTCGACTTTACAGAGACACACCGGAAGAGCGGACACTTGGGTGAGATCCGTCTCGAGTCGCTACCGCCTAGCTCGGTGCCCAACGCACAGCTGCAGCCCATCGACGAGCTGTACAGTCAGCTATTTCCTGTCGCCCAACAGCATCCTAGCCAGCAACACGACACACTCAAAACGACCACAGACTCTGCCCCTTTGAATCCAGCTGAAGACCGAATATCGACTCGGACCGACTCGTGTTCAGCTCGGCAAGCTTCGGTAAACCCCCTTGGTCCATCAGGACGAGCTGAAGAGACTTTCAGCTACAATGCCACGCCGCCACTGGCGCTGATCGAACGGCGCATGGCCAAGACATGGATCGGACTTACGTGGGGAGAGATCAAGCTGCTATCACTTGCCGGCGCAGGCTTCCTTGTGGACGCATACGACCTATTTGTGATCAACATGATCTATCCTCTCTTGCTGCTCGCATACTATCCGCCGGGGACACGCAATATCGAGTGGGGTCTATCCGGGGGTGTTCTCAAGGCGTCGGCTAGCATGGGCAATGTGATCGGACAGCTGCTGTTCGGATTCCTGGGCGACTTTTGGGGTCGTTCCGTGCTGTATGGCAAAGAGCTCATGCTTGCCATGGCGGCGATTGTGCTTATCATCTCGGCTCCCGACTCGATTCACGGCATGGGCGTGACGATCTGGATGGCCGTCTTTCGCTTCATGCTTGGACTGGCTGTGGGCGCCGACTACCCGTGCACGGATATCCCGCAGGGATATCCGTGCACGGGTAGTCGTCAGGGATATCCGTGTGCGCTCGCCTCAATTCGTCAAGTTCACGCTATGGCAGGTCTGTCGCAGATGCACACAATACGACGTTGCAAGGGTAGGAGGGGTAGGATGGGTAGGATGGGTAGCAGCGCGTTGCTGTGCTTGGACAGGTGGTGGCATGCACGCGTGCATAAACTGGCTGCATTCAAAGTGTTTTTTTTCCGCCGGCTCTGGTGCGTTTCGACGCGTCTTCCCGCCGCCACGCGGCGGGCGGCTATACGCGCAGGCTTGGCGTGCGTCCGACAGTGCCACTCTCGCTGCCGACCCGAGATCGTTGGCAGCTCCGCGCCCTTTCGCCGCCTGCCGCCCGTACTCTCTTTGCCATGCTCTTGTACATTTCCGTCTTGCGTCTGCTCAGCAAGCTCGTCCCTCGGACAATCTCCTTTGCACGCACGAACGCTCGCATCGGATGGCCGATGAAAAATAAAAGAATGGGAATGAGAATGAAAACAAAAAGAGAGTGTTGCCAGGAACGCGTGGGCGGCGTGGCTGAGGAGGGGGAAGGAGGGGGAAGGCCGAGGCCGTTCGCTGGCCAGGCAAGCATGCGACGCTGACGCAGTCATGAGTGGTCGACAAGTGGCTAGCATCACCTGGTCCATGAGTGCGTATCTGCCCTCTGGATGCTGGCTGGCTGGCTGGCGCAAGGGCGGTGGAATAGGAACCAAGGCCTCGCTCGTGCTCGCTCGGCCTCGCTCGCTCGCTGGCTGTCGAACGCTCGCCCAGCTCGACGGATGCGATCCGACTCGCCCTCCCTCTCGTCTCGTCCTTACCGGTCTGCTCGGCAAGCGTGATGGCCGATGGCACGCCCAGATGTGATGGGCGTTGCGCACGCCCGACCGCGGCTGTTGCCCCCAAGCTCAGCCTCGACAAATTCTTTGCGGCTTGGCCAGTCTAGCCAGCCTGGATGTGCTCGTTCAGCTCGATCACCGTGCCATCCCCCATCCGATAGGCTGCATAGCCTGGCAACGTGAGCCAGTCGGCGCGGCCGAGCGCAGCGGCTCCTCCGAAGACACTGGCGCACTTGCTCCCCTTCGGCAGAGCCGAACAAAAGGAAAGGCCATCACTCCGCCCCTGCGGTCGGGAGCAGCCGATCTGCCGCAGGCGCCCTCCAGCTCTCCCTCTCCTCTCCCTTGTCCGCCTGGCCGGCTGCTCAGCCAAGCCGAGCCAAGCCAAGGCAGGCAGGCAGGCAGGCAAGCAGGCACGCACGCGGCGCCCATCCGCTTGGCGCCTTTTCTATATCTAGTCGGGCATCCAGGCCGGTCCTCGCCCCCCTCCCCCCCCCC